CATCACTTAATTATAGGCTTGTTTGTGGGAAGTTCAGCCTTCTAAGAGCTCTACTTTTGAGTATAATACGGCGATTAGAAAGAGTTATTAACTGGTTGGTGCTGTTATTCAGCTCCTGAGTCCCTAAAGGAGAAATTAGAAATCCTGTTTGAAGATGAAATATGACCACTAGAGGATGCAGTCAAGATCCTGAATGAGTGAGGCATCCTATTCCTCCGTCATGCTCTGCAAGGCCATCCAGAATATACAACAAATACTTTGTGGAATACTTGGGTGAATAAATGGCAATGCAGAAGTCAAGGGAGAGTTTATGAACAAAGCAGTATAGCTAGGATAACCCAGTAGTCAATCCACAAGCCCTACTTTTATTTTACTTTTACTTCTTTTGCAAGTAAACCCACAAGTCTATGGGTTTTTCTTTGTTTTCCTTCTCCATTGTTTCTTCTTTCCCTACATTATCTGTTGTCTGTCCATCCCTCCAATCCACACCCTACTATTATCCTTTGCTAGTGGTGACCTTCTCATCTGGACATTTAATCTCAATCAGCTGTTCACTCTACCAGTTGAACCTGGGATACACCTCTGCTGAACACTTCTGGGTACCTTAGATTTAGTTCTCTATTGAACATGTTCACTGAAAAAAACCCAATTATTTTTTAAAATCTCTCTCTCATTTCATATTTATTTGCTTRCTACTTCAGTCAATTGATTTATTTGTTCCCCATCCATCCGGCCCTCAGCCACAAACACTTGCTTAATCTTGTTTTCTCTCTCATAACCRCAATTACTCACCCACAACCAGTAGATCATCCTTATTTAGGAAATTACTTGCAATTTGGAGAGGACAAAAGGGATACCAACAACAACAAAATAATCCAGGACCAAAACAGGAACTACTGGCTTTTGATTGATATATCAGTAAAAACCCAAACAAACCAAAATCAGCCRTTGAAAATAATATTTTTTTTTTGATAGACTAGAAAACAGACTCCCAGAGCTGCTKATCTGTAGGGAAACTTCTCTGATAAAACACAGAGAAAGGTGATTGCCCCTGTGATTATCACAATGCATTTAAATTAAAAGTGAGAAGATTGTTTCAACTCGTCCATGTCTTGTTTTACTAATAATTACTCAATTTTTAAAAAATTATGTGTTTCTCTATACCCTCCCTTGTTTATGGTAGTTGTATCTGTTCCTTAAATCACAYCTCTATAAGTTAGGCTTTTCTAACCTCTATATGAATATTTACCTAATTTTGCTGCTGGTATCTGTTATTCAGCTTTGGCTGAGATCTGGATTTTGCAATTGAAATCTTCACAAATCTTGACTTCATTGTGCTGAGGAAAATCATAAGGATTGTACTTCATAATATCAGTACAGAATTAGACCTGTGTGTAGATTAACTTACTAAAGTATTTGACATAAAATTARAATATACAGTATCAACTGATGTTTCCTGTGAAATGTAAATTTTTCATTTTTTCCTTATTTCACAGTTTTAGTGCAGAATGCTGCTAATCTCAGTTTTKTGTTTAATTCTAAATCAATTGGCAGGCAAAAAGTTGAAAATGGCTAAATTCAAGACTTCCAACATCAAAAGAAATTTTCAACATTTGAACAAAATAAAAACAGGTGTGAATAAAATATYATATTGCAATAGTGTTATTAAAACCATTAAAGTGCTTTTGAATCGGGTGTTTTATTCATTTTCAAAGCTGCCATTTGTAAATGTGTATAGGCAGGACTCTTGTAAATTTAAAACAGAGTATTAGRACTTACTCTGGAATCCGTAGCACAATTGTACTGTGTTTTGTTGATACATAATAATTCATAATTTTCTGTCTTTGAGCAGGGGCCATCCGATTTTTATTTCTGCATGKTATTTGTGTTGGTTAGCATATGTAGTAAGAACAAAAATGTTACAAAAAGATATTTGTTGCATTCTGGCWTAGGTACGTAATGTCTTTGATAGCGCACGTAGTTACATATCCTCAAAATCTGTTCTGACAAACGGTCTTCAGGATTTTTTTTTTTTTTTTGCAATTTGCTAACTGCTTTTAAGTTAGAGCTGTTGTATTTCCATCCTGTCCCTTTGATATATGTCGTGACAGTGCGAGTCTCAGACAACCTTTCTGTAATTTTGAAGGAAAATAGGAGAAGTTGTATTATCATTTCTGTCTATGAAATTTACTTCTGAAGTGAATGCCATACATATTTTTTAAATGAATGCCAAATGTATTTTGTAGAAGGGAGTGCCATTGAAAGCCAAGGCAGGCAATTTATACCATGCATAATAATGATATTAATTTTTATGGTGTGTATAAGTTACATTTTGATTAGTTTTTTGCATGATTAAAAATTTGCAAAGCCTTTATGGCCCCCAGGAGCCTACCTGTAATAAACAGCTCTCACCTTCCAAACCATAAAACAGGTCTGCAGTACTTGAACATTACAGCTAATTGCCTTGCAACATCAAAGGGAGCACCACAAGACTGAGAAAAATCACAGAAGGGGGGGGTGGGGAGCGAGGGGCAGTTTCACCTCTAAAGGTTATGTGTTTGTGGCTTGGTGCAGCCCCGTAAAGTTATGGCCTCAGAACTGCTGTTTGCGATTAAGTTGATGGGGAAAGTCTATCCCGCAATCTCTCCCTGCTGCTGACACAGAGTCTTTGTTCACATTCAGATTTCTCAAACTGTTGCCAGGGTCAGGCTGAGGTCAGACACCACGATGATGTATAGGAGAACATGTCTGGGAATTTCTCTCACACTTAAAACACATACCAGAAAAACAGGAGAGCACCCTGCAAAAATTGTCTGATGAGACCCAGATGATACTGTAGCTTTTCTTTTAGTACCTTCATAATTTTCTTTCTCTTTGCCTGACACACACACAATGTTTTATTAATGTGTGCCACGATAGCCCTTACAATTTTATGTCCCCTCAAGATAAGGACACTCAGTAGCACTTTGACACTTCATTTTCCAGCCCAGGGGGATTGGGCCAGTAAATCTAGTAAAAGAAGCAACGCATCCATTCCCAAGGATGAGTTGAAAAGGGATTGCCATGGGCTCGGTGAGGCCACGGGGCCTGACACCGGCTCATGTCAGCGCTAACACAGCCCGAGCCATGCGTGATCACAGGCGCGCAGCATCCCGAGCCGCAATCCCGCCACCCCGACAACCGCGGCCGCGCTTCCCACTGCGCTGGGATCCCCACCGTGTGTGATGAGCTGCCCTCGTGGGAGGAGAGCGCTCACACAGCACGAGGGGCCTTTCCATTCGCATGGAAATTTCTTTTTTTTTTTTAATATGCAATTATTTTTAAAAGAAGGGACCGTCTTTCTCCCTGCATTGTTCCAGAAAGTGGACGCACWTGCTTAGTCCTTAACCTATTGTATTTCCATGTCGATGCGAAGCACATTGATCTGCGGTTGAGATTTTTTTGGGGGTAGGAGGGGGAGAAGGTTGGTTTCCAAAATTGCAGCTGTGTTTTGCTGTTCCGATTTACAAAAGGTTTTGCAGACAGAGAGTTGAGAATCGGATAGGTTTGCCACATCGATCTGAGGGTTGTTTGCCTAGGCATAGGGTTTCAGTGTATGGCTGGCAGTAAGGCAATAGGCAGCAATTTTTTTGTGCTCAGCTGCTACATATGACAGAGGATATTTCATTCGGCTGTCAGAATGTTATTAATAAAACATGGGGTGCGAAGAGGGCCACTATTTCCCCTTTCAATCACTATAGCATTTACAATGAAAATTTTATGCAGTGTGTAATTTTCAGTTAATGCTTGACACTTAAAATGTCGGTAGCTGCATTTTGTATGGTTCCTGAAGGGTTAATTGTATCATGTTCCCTGCATAAAAGCTCTGCTTATCAAAAGTGAATAGAAGAGTGTATGCAAATGTGTGTCTGTGACCTTTTGCCTTTCCAGGGTTAATTTATATGGTCATTAAAGATTTTATGAAATCAAGCGGCCTGGTGCTTCGAATCCCATTTTACCTTCACCTCCTAATTTATATAATTCCTACCTGAACTGGGAAATATGATTTTTATTTTGTGTGTGTGCGTGTGTGTGTATAGTGCTGCAATGAAAACAGCATGCTGTGCTGTGGGGAGTTGCAAGTCTGGTTATCTGGCATTACTCAGATTGCTAAAAATTCATTAAAATGTGACATCAGCACAGTGAGAGACAAATGATCACAGGATGAAAAGGAACAGTGGGCCTTTCACGGATTAGTGCTACACAGCCCCAGCATAGAAGCTAACTGCATAAACAGATTAATCCACCAGTAGCAGCATAGCTAAGATTTACCGAATAATTAAATGGGCTTGAGTTACTGTGAAGATTTCCATGTAATCTAGCTGGTGTGAACACGTAAGTGAGGTGTGGGTAATGCTGCTTCCTCAGAAGCCATACACCAAGTTGCATCATTTATCCTGAATGGCTCCCCCTGGAGACAAAATTTGAGACTTCTCCCGCAAAGCCAGAGGTTTATATTTAATACAGTACCTAATACCTAATACTTACTTACTGCAATTAGCGGGATACTGCTGCACTAATAGGATTTATATTTGAGTTCTCCCTTTTTTTTTTTTTTTGCTTTTTTTGGCTCCAAGATGCATTTTTACATGTGCTAGCTTTTGTTCCAGCCTGTGGGGGATGCGTGTGTGTATGTGTGTGTGTCCATGCATGTGCACGTATTTTAACACAAATCATTTCTAGCCAAAGAATATGAAATGACAGGCTTTAAATCTGTCACACTGGGGGAAAGCAGGTACTCTTGTAAAGACACAGTCAGATTTTRAAATATTGCAAATTATTTAGAATTAATATCCAACCTCTTTAAAGCGCTGTTCTTTCCCTTTTCTTCTCCCCCACCCTTCTTCCCCCTGTTTTGCCACCCTCTGTTAGTGCTGTTCTTATTMCAGGACATATTTTTTAACTGCTGTTAACTGGTCACTGAGTTCCTTTCCTGAGATCTTTTCTGTGTTTGTCCACAGAAGAACAAGGTGAAGACACAGAAGGGTCTGCTAAAAGTACATCAGTGGCTGTGGCTGATGATAAAGACTCAAGTGAGAGAGACAATAGTGAAGGCAAAAAATCTAGTAAAGACTCTGGTAAGATTCTAGAATTTTGTTTTCCCCCTTTTTTTAATTTATRAAATGCTCTTTCATTTTAGACTGTCTGGACATTCCCACTACTATTCATTGCATGTGCATTTTGCATGTGATTTCTATCAGTAGCCTCCCATTGACCTATTTTTAATCATAACCATCTGACAGGATAGATGCGGATAAGTTGAAGAATATTACAGGACGACCAGTGAGATTATTTTTTAATCAAATCAGTTTGTGTGCTTGTAATTTTTTAAGCGCCTTTCATTAATCTTAGCTGTACTTGTGATTCCTCTGATGGCATATTAATTTTTCATAAGCATAGGATTAGGTACCACTTGAATTTTTTCTTCAATCAGGTTTTGCCCCCCTTTTAACCCAAAGAATGTGGGTTTTTCTGTTATTATTTTTTTGCTCTTGCTCACAGATTAGTTACTCCCAAGAATCTGGCCTCTTCCTGGGCATTTATTTGAGGCATTTGCAAAAAAATACACAAAATCCAGTGAAAAAGTTTACAGATGATTCAGCCTAAGAAAGAGGAAATATCATTGAAAACGGATTATGGCTTGGGTAATTTTGATCTCCTGGAATAGACAAAGCCCAGTAATGAAAGCTACTGTCTTTGAAAACAAAACCTCTATGTCATGACATTTACTTGTGCACAAACAAACCCAGGGCCAGCATCTGGTGTAGATACCCAAGGCTTTTTCTGTGTTTGATTTGGCAAATATGTGACTTCACCCATGCTTTTTATGTATGAGATGGAAATCTATGGTCACAATGAATATTACATTGGCTACTTTTGCCGCACGCTATACCTAGTTACATTATGTTGGATTCACTGAAGCAGAAGAAGTGCTGAAACAGGTTGAAGCCTATTAGTTTCAGGTAGTCATATATCTTTTCCTGGTATGCTGATGACAGCAGCATACAAAGGAGGTTGTATTATCCATAAAGACATATAGTTGTAGAGAAAATATCATTTTACATCTGAGTTTCTTTACACCCAAATTCCCCCATACTGCAAATTGCTCTTTACATATTAAACATTTCTGAATTTATTTCCAAAAARCCCTATAGTTGGCCCTTTCTATGCCAAGTCAATTCAGAAGACTGACTTAAAGATTAAAGCTTCCTTTAAGTTTGCTTGTTGATGGTCTAAGGTCAGTACCCATCACAGTTTACAACCTCAACTGCTCTTCACTCACTTTATTTTTTGAGATCAAGAGACTGAGGGAAGGCTGATGATGACAAGGATGATGTTGAGCAAGAAGCTGTGTTGTGGTTTAGAATATATATTCCCCTCAGATGGCTCTGTGACTTGGTCAAAACCATCTTCAGGGCAATAAAGCCATGCTCCCAGGCTGACAGAGGTCCTCCTGTGCAGTCCCCTCAGGGGCTGGCCTGGACACTCCCCACGAGAGGGGTGACAGCCACTTGCAGCCTGCAGTTCTTACTGCATGCTTTGCCTAGGGGACAAGCGTGAACCACTTCAGGGAATTTATCAGCCCTCTCTTTTTCTTAGGCTTCTCCATGTATCATTGTTCAAGAAAGAATACTGTATTAAAGCTCCACCAAAAAAAAAAAAAAAAAAAAAAGGAATCCTGAAAAAAAAAATACTGAAGGGGAATTCTCAAAATTCCATCAGGATTAGCCACTCATAAGGGCCAAGTTTAATTAGGACAAACCTATATCCAGATGCCTACTGGGTGCACTACAAAAAACCAGCATAATTGTTCTGCATTCCCRTGCCAGCAATTACACAAATAACTTTGCAGTAAGATTTATATAAAAACAAGGGCTGAAATACATGATTGCCTTTGTGCTTTGCAGAAAATAGTTTGTACTGTAAAATCCTGAATCTTTCTGAAACTTTTATTTTCCTAATCTAAATTAATTCTGCATACATAACATTCCGACCATCATCTTAATTTTCACTCAGCTGACAAGTACTTCTAATGACTGCATAACTGCTTGTGTATAATTGAATGTTAATTTGGGCTTTCTCATGAATTGAGTGTTGCAAGTCTTGCCAAAGAAATCTCAGGAAAACCAATRAATTAATCACAATACTAACAAGTTAGACAGGAAAGTGGTGTGACCCTTCTTTAGCATAGAATCTATTAGACAAGAAAGGATTAACATGTATTTAGTAACAGTGTGTTTGTGTAAGCTGTTGTGCTGCATTGCTTACCTTATCTCAAGGAGTAGAGCTTTCAAAATGAGACTTGGCAATATGCAAGTTATATTTGTTGAATATTCATTCAGAATAGAAAAGCCTACTAATGCCTCATTTATATTGTCATTTAAATCTAGTGCCACTTTAGATTAATTATAATCCAAATTACAGCTCTATGCAGTGCAAGAATTAATATGGAATTTATCC